GAATTGCAGGATCAAATGGCAGGTCTATTTTTAGTTCTCTAAGGGTTCTCTAAACGTCTCTCCAAAAGGGATGTATTAGTTTGCATTCACACCAGCAGTGTAGAAGTGTTTAATTTTTTAGCATTTTTGCTATTGAAAAATAGATCACAATACATTTTAAAGTCAATCAGATTTCTTTCCATCTTCACTAATGATTTCTAAATTTGTGTCCTTTAAAGGCTGCTAGCTTATATAAGCTAGAAGAAGAAAACCATGAAGCTGCCACATGTTTGGAAGATGTTGTTTATCGAGGGGACATGCTTCTGGAAAAGATACAAAGTGCTCTTGCTGATATTGCACAGTCACAGCTGAAGACAAGAAGTGGTACCCATAGCCAGTCTCTTCCAGATTCTTAGTTCCAGTGAATACCACAGGGCTAAGAAAAGAACTGTTAAGAAAAGATCAGATTTAGGTGTAAGCCTTATCAACAGTTACAGAAACATTAAATACTGACATGTGTTACCTTTTTCACTATTTTTAATAGTCTGTTTTAACTTTTGATAAATAAGCTTATAAAATTGTGACTGAATCAGCTTTAAACCATCATTCTAACACCATTTTTTGTCTGCATAAAATTATCACAGCTGCTGGCCCCAGCCAAAAAAAAAAAATTATCACAGCAGAATTCATTAATCATAATTAAATATACTATAAAGTTCTTTTGTGATAAGATTTATATCTTTATTTTTGATGTGGTTCAAATCAGAAAAAATGTCCTCAAGTTAGCGGAGAAGGTGATTAAGAGCAGAGATGTGGTACATTTTAGTTTAGGTTGGTATCTTTCTACTGTGTTTTCCCAAAAGTAAGACCTACCCAAAAAATAAGCTGTAGCAGGATTTCTATGCATTTGTTAAATATAAGCCCTACCCCGATAATAAGACCTACTGATGGGTCTACTGATGCCATTAAGAATTCTACATCATGGCTCGGTGCCTGTGGCTCAAGTGGCTAAGGCACCAGCCACATACACCTAAGGTGGCTGGTTCGAATCTAGCCCAGGCCTGCCAAACAACAATGACGGCTGCAACCAAAAAATAGCCAGGCGTTATGGCGGGCGCCTGTGGTCCCAGCTACTTGGGAGGC